CCTTTACACATCACTTTGGAGTAAGTGTCCTTTGTCATATTTGATGATGCCCTCTTCTCAAGAAATCGCTTCATGACATTTAAATGTATCTTCTACCAACGTGAATACTTGAGTAGAATTTTTTTCTGATTTTCATTTGTATACTTCATTAAATACTGCCTTCCACTGGAGAAATGCTGAGATAGAAGACATAGTAGAGCTTCACGGTCAAAGTCCTGGAGAAGACACTCATAATTTCCATGGTTCATTTTAGAGAATGTAATTAGTCACTCCTGGGTTGGATTATTTATTTAATGTTTTGGTAATAAATGTTTACAGTTACTGAATTTTCAGTTATTATGTTCATAAATTATTTTCTTTTTTGGTGTCAATTCGTGTAATGGAAGAATTGAGTGAGGAAATCACGAAGTTTTGAAGTGTAACATTGGCCAAGAGTTGGATTTAATTTGTAATTAGTAAAATTTCCAGTTAATTAAGTCAGCTGATTCGAGTCCTTAGAATTTAGCATGTGTCCTCTTAATCTTCTTGGCACAGATCTGTTGAACTTACTATATACATGTCTGATTATTTTGGCGTGATTTTGGTACCTAGTCAGTCTCTTCTATGGCATTTTTTTGTTTTTGCCCATTGCTTTTACTTTTAAGTAGCTTACTTTCGTATGCCTGTTTGTTTAATCTTGGTACGTTTTCTTTTTCGTACCTGTTTGCTTACTTTTCTTTTTTTTTTTTTTTTTTTTTTTTTTTTAAATTTTTATTTATTTATGATAGTCACACACACACACACACAGAGAGAGAGAGAGAGAGAGAGAGAGAGGCAGAGACACAGGCAGAGGGAGAAGCAGGCTCCATGCACCGGGAGCCCGACGTGGGATTCGATCCCGGGTCTCCAGGATCACGTCCTGGGCCAAAGGCAGGCGCCAAACCGCTGCGCCACTCAGGGATCCCTTACTTTTCTGTCCATTAGTCTAAGTGGACATTTGGGTAAATCTGCTTTTATTTTTTTTAAACTCTATTTTTAAGTAATTTCTATACCTGACATGGGGCACAGACTTACACCCCAAGATCAAGAGCCACATGCTCCACTGACTGAGCTAGCCAGGCGCCCTGGGTAAATGTGCTCTGTAGGTACTTAAACCAACAGTTCAGTCATTTTGGGAGGTGTCTACTTGGTGCCTAGTAGGTATTTAACATCGTGCTACATTTTAATATTCTCTACCATTCTTATAAACTTTTTAATTAGTTATAGCCTTTGGCACCTCTAGGTGAAGGATGTCATTTAATTTATTAGCAGCTGTTGCTGTATACATGTAATTATATTTGACGACAAGGGCATTTTTACAAGATGAGTCTGGTGGAGTCGTTATATAAATGATTCAGATTAAGGAAATTATTTAATACTGAGGTAAGTGCTTGAGAAATTGCCTATTTAGAAATGCAGCACATCTTAAAGAGGTACTATTTGAGGACCTAAAATATACAGGGGAGGCTGCATATTTTACTTTGATCTTATTACCATACAAAGGAAAGCTTATATAAAAATGACTTGTCAGTAACTTTCTGCTTTTTGAAGATAGACAATTACACAAGAGATTCTGGCTATTAGGCAGTGGAGAAATACTTTCAGTAGAAGTCTGCTGATGTAGTTTTGGAATTTATGGAGCACCTGCTACAAAAGTTGCTTATAAATGCTTTAAAACCAGGGGTTGGGAAGGCATTGGTGAGACCAGGAGGTCCGCACAACAGGGAGGGTCAGTGAGCCCCATCATGCTGTGAGGGGCAGCACTGCCCAGCCGACGGGGTCAGGGCCTGCAGTTGCTCAGTGCTTCTGGCCACCTTTGCCTCTTGTTGGCTTTGCCATCCAGAACATCCCTTCTCTCTCAGCCTCTGATCTAGAGCCACTGATAGTTGAGTCCTTACTCTTCTTAGTAGGGCACTCAGCCTTTTGTTAAAGTAGTTTAAGAACTGCAAACAATGGTTCTGAATAGGTGTGTGTGTGTGTGTGTGTGTGTGTGTGTGAGAGAGAGAGAGAGAGAGAGAGAGAGAGAGAGAGAGAGAGAGAGAACATGAGTTTGCGGATGGCCGCAATCCACCTGTTATCCTCATTGGGTTTGGGGGTGCCGCCTGGAAAAGAAAAACCTAAATAGATCCTCCCCTGAGGATTTCACTGTTGGCTAAAGGGCTCAGAACAGTCAAATCTTGGTTCAGACTTGTAGGTGGTGTGACACTAACGGCCGTGTCCTATTAAAGATCAACGTTTAGCAGTTTGGTAGCAGTTAAATGTCACTGGAATGTTTATGCAGTTGGTTTGTAATTTGACACGCATCTTCAAGTTTCCAAAGTAAATGTATAAAATCTAAGTCATTTTTTGACATGTGAATCAGGATGCCATAGAGGGAAATGCCCTTTTAATTTCTGGAATTAACTTGGCAATTTAAAAATAGAGCAGTGATCGCTCTAATCCTTTCTGCATGTTTTTAAAAATTTATTTCCATAGGATGAAATTGTAGAATGTAAATTTAGCTTTTGAAAGGACAGTGATTAATGTACTGTTTACCCAGGCCATTCTTCAGAATTTGACTAGGGTAATTTGCTAATAACAATGTCTTTTCATCAGTGCTCAGTGGGGAGAGGGGTGGAGTGATATATTCAGATTTTTGCAAAATAACACTAAGCTGTTCAGCTTTTCAGTCCTAAGCAAATAGAGAAGGCCACAGCGTTCACTTGATGCTCTTCCCTAGGATAGCCTCCCGCCCCAAAGGGGGGGCATAAGTCATAAGGGGATACGGTTTTGTATTTCCTTACCAGAATTTCCGAAAGGAGAGAGAGATGCCAAAGGGAGATACTGGGGAGGAAAATACTCGTGTAAACGTGAAAGGTGTTAGGTTTTCTTTCTCCCTCTGGCATTCTCTCTCCAGTGTTATCACCAATGAGTTTCAGCGATGGAAGGGAAGGTTGAAAAGTTTGCTCTCTGATGAGAGTAGCTGATCAGAACTTGAGAGAGAACTAGATCCTTCTTTACTTCGCAGCACTGGAGCCAAGCTGAGCAGTGGGATGGTGCCCTCAGTAATTTGGCCATTCAGGAGCACAACAAGACTTTGACAGGACATGTGGAGAATGGGAGACACAAGAAATCAAGATACAACAAGTGCAGATTATTTTGGAGTGATAAATGTTCCCGATTATTATTTATAACATTTGTGTCTCTTGATTACTTAAATATGTTTGGAGAGCAATCAAGAGAAAAATGTGTGTGCAAATCTGCATGTACCTATAGTAGGTGATATGCCCTGGATATAACCTAGCATATGACTGGATAACCCGGTGCAGGATTTACATACTACGTAACCTTTTCTTCCGATTAGGGGGACACAGGTTCTGTTGTCTGAGGGCCACACTGCTGAGGGACATGTCCTTGGTGTAGTGGTTAGTATTCAAAGGACTGGGCCAGATTGAACAGTTTTTCATCCTGCATGTTTACTTACCATTTTCCCTTTTAAAATAATAAACCAGTTAGAGTCAACTTTTTGTATCCTCTAGTATGTCCTGAGCTTGAGACAATGGAGTATTTTTATTTCATTGTTCTCTGGAGAGCAGCAGTGTCACACTGAGGGATGCGCCAGGCCCTTAGTGACACATGATCAGGGAGTCTCCAAAAGGGAAATGGGTTCCGTCCACAGAGCAGGAAGCCGCTTTGCCCGTGTCGTGAAGGACATGTTTACCTTATACTTTTTGAAGGAGCCTCATGATTGCTTTTCCCTCGGTGGGAATACTCTTTAGAAATAGGTATTCATTCTTAGAAAGTGTCCGTAATTCTGGTGTTATAGAGAAGTTGGTAACGTGAGTTGGTGATTGGCTATCGTCGCTTTGTTTAAAGTAGCAACGAAGGACAGATCTACTTCATGAGTGGTAACTGCTGACATTTAAACTCCGATATCTGGGGCCCCTGGGTGGCTCAGTGGGTTAAGCATCTGCCTTCGGCTCAGGTCATGATCCCAGAGTCCTGGGGTGGAACCCCACATCGTGCTCTGCTCAGCTGGGAGCCTGCTGCTTCCTCTGCCTGCTTGTGCGCTCTCCATGTCATAAACAAACAAACAAACTGATATGTAGTTCATAGATATGTTGGAATACTGGTATCCTGTTACCTGTTGTCATTTTTGGTTAGATCTTTTGAAATTATCTTTGCAGTCACCAAATAAGTATACTTCACGGGGGGGGGGGGTGTTTGCGTTTTGCTTAGGCGCTCATGATAGAAGTCACAGTGCAGAATTTTCACTTCGCCTTCCCTGAAAATATTTCAAGTCCTGGCAGTTTTGAATAAACTACTTGATCGGGTATCAGCAGAAACTTGAATTGACCTTGGAATATTGCAGGACTCTTGGAAACACTCATAAACACTTTCTAGAGAATTCTTTTAACCTTTTTTGGGAAAAATAAAACTCATGGTCATTGTTAAATCTCTAATTCCCAGCTTCGGAACTCCGTACATTTCTGTTGAATGAGTGGACTTTTTTGGGGTGGGGGGCCTAGTAGGTGGAAGTTTTTGCTGTTGGGGGCCTATCTTAAGGCAATGCTGCCTTTTTTTTTAAAATAAAGATTTATTTGTTTTAGAGAGAGGACAGGAGGGGCTGGGAGAGAGAAGCTCGCACAGACCCCGTGCTGAGCGTGCTGCCCGCGGGGCGGGGGGGGGGGGGGCTCGACCTCAGGACTGAGGCGGCAGTGAGCTGAGGCGTCGCGTACCCCGCTGTGCCCCGGGCCCTGGCCGCCGGCGGTGACCCCGCGGGGGGTGGGGTCCTGCCCCGCCGTTTCGTGCTCGCTGCTCGGGGCTTCCGTGGCCTGGGGCACAAGGGCGCCGTCCCTGCAGTGCCCCAGGGTGGCTCCGCGCCCACCCTTCGCGAGGGGCTCCCGGAGCGAGGACGGGCTCTGCGGCGGTGACGTCATTCGAGCCCGGGGGGGGGGGGGCGGGGGGGGGGGGGCGGGGGGGGGCGGGGTCCATGGCCGGGCCTTCGCTGCAGAGCTCTGCGCCCCTGCGGGTCTCCGGGGGCGGCCGTTGCCCTGGGAGGACGCGCTGTGTCCTGGTGTTGCCCTGGGCGCGGCGGCCTGCGGATGGCCGGGCCTGAGGCGCCCGAGGCCTTTGCGGGGAAGCGCGGGAGGAGGCGCGGGGAGGTGGGGGCAGCCGGAGGGCGGCCGCGAGGGACCACGGGGGACCACGGGGGACCACGGGGCGCCGGCGCCTGGGGCCCCGCATGGCGTCCTCGCCGGGACGGCGGACAGGGGCCGCGTGCTGCGGGCGGCCGAGGGGAAGGCCCTGCGAGGCGGGAGGGCCCCAGGCGCAGCCCGCGCCCCTGGGCAGGGCCCGAGCAGAGACCGGCCTGTTGGCTTGTTGGCTCGTTGGCTCGCGGCGGCGGGAAGGGCGGCGGCGGGCCTCGAGGCGCGTGGCGGCCACGCGGCGGGCGATTCTCAGCGCGAGGCTGCTCGGCGCGGAGGCCGGAGGGGACGCGGCCTGCTCGGCCTGCTCGGGCGGGCGGCCTCGGCTGTGGCCTCGGCTGTGGCCTCGGCTGTGGCGCCCGGGCCGCCGCCGCCGCCGCGTGTGCGCGTTCTCGTGCCGAGGCGCCCGGCGTCGAGGCGGCGCTGCGAGCCCACCGAGCTGAGGCCGCGCCAGGTGCTGAGGCTCCGAGCGGCGCGGGGCTCGAGGCCTGGCCGGACAGTCGCGTCCGGGGTCCGGGGCGTGCGGCCCCGCCGTGTCCCGCGCCCCCTTGCCCGCCCCCGCCCCGTCCCCGCGGCGCCCGGGCCCGAGGCCGACCGGCTCCTTTCCCGCCTGAGCAGCCCGGCCCGGGTGACCTCCGGCGCCCCGGGCTCCGCCCACCCGCCAAGCGCACTGGAACCGCGCTCGCTCGCCCCGCGAGGCTTTCAGGCCGTGCTTGCGGCGGCGCCCGGGCCCCGAGGTCCTGCCCCGAGGTCCTGCCCCGGCCGCCAGGTCGCGCCGCCTCTCGGGCTCACTGCAGCCCGCACCCCCCGGTGGCCTCGGTCAAGGCCCCGGAGGTGGAGGTGCCCGAGTGGCCGCCGCGGGCACGGGCAGGTCGCTCCAGGTCGCTCGGCGTCTGTCAGGAGGGTTATTTATCTGACGCGAAAGCAAGCGGAGCGCCCTGTGGACACGGAGCTCCTTCCAGGAAAGGGGAATTTGTACTCGCTGCCCCTGAGAACTCCGGCTCCCGAAGATCAGGTGCAACTGATTCTGGAGGCACGACAGGAAAAGACAAGGAGGAAAGGTCTTTGTGTCCCTCAAGTGATTTTTTTGGGTCATTGTGTGAACTTCCAGGGCAGGCACCCTCTCCCTCTCACGTGTTCATTTACTGCTTGGTAATTACATGCGCGTATTAAAACAGCAAGATACCAAGTATCAGTATGGAAGGATCACTTTCGTCATTTTATAAGACTTTTTGTATAAAACTTTTTATCTAATGACATTGTTTTCTAGGACATGACATTTTCATTTCCTTCTAACTCGTTTGAGACAAAGCACGTTTTTACTCATTCATTCAGCACATACGTGTCGGTGCCAAACAATGTTGTAGGTAAGGGGAATAGAATGATTTACAGAACAGACAAAAGAAATCTTTTTTTCATGTGAATCCTATTTCTAGAGTTGAATCTGATATGATAATGTCACAAGAATCTTATCCATAGACTTACTTGATTGCTTAATATCTGTGATAGGCACAAGGGTTAGTCTTACAGAATTTGATTTTTAACAGATTTTTAAAAGGCTTGTGTATGATATGATTCATATGTTATTCTTTAAAATATTTATTTATTTGAGAGAGAGCGAGCGAGCACGAGCAGCAGGGGCAGAGGGAGAGGGCGAAAGACTCTCAAGCCGACTTCCCGCTGAGCCCGGAGCCAGATGCAGGGCTTGATCTCATTCATGATCTGCGCTGGAACCCAGGGGTGGTTGCTTAACCAACCATGCTGCCCAGGCGCACCATGTAATATTATTTATAATTAGAGGGAAATCCCTCCCTGGAAACAGTGTCTGATCCTGGTGATTACACTGTTCTCGCAGTGACAGCTGACATAGATTGCTCACCAGGACAGGTATTGTAATACAACCTCAACACTTCAGGGTATTTAAACCACACGCTCGGTTTATGAGATCGGTGCCATCAGTGGTTTTTATGTCGAAGATGAAGAAACAGAGGAAAAGAGATTAAATCACTTGCATGGCAGCTAATTGGTCGAGCCAGGCTTTGAATGCAAGCATGTTAGTAAATTATTAAAAAAAAATAAAGCAATTAAGAGACTGTTCCCTCTGATAACTACAAAGATTTAAATATGAAGCAGATCAAGAATTATCTGTAGGATATAGTAAAAAGTATGGAGTATTTCGGTGGTATAAAGTGTAGTCATCAGGGTCACTACTGGAGCCAGAATGCTTGGGTTGAGTGGTTGTGTGCCTTACTCTCATCATCTATGAAATGTCTATTTCATAGGGTTTTTGTAAGGATTAAGTTATGCAAGAAAAAAATTAAAGTTTGGTTTAAATATTTGCGAGAACTATTAGCAGAATCCATAAGAACTGTTGGGGAAGTGTTGGCTAGTGCTCTTACTACTCTTGTTACTATTGACATTTTTTAAAGAGCATTTCCTCTTTCCTGAGGTTTTGCTTTTTTTTTTTTTTTTAGAAAAAAAATGTTGCCATGTATTTGGGTATATACCATCCTTACTTTCCTAATTGATTTTTCTGTTAGGTACCAGTTTGGTGTTTTTGGCCACGGTTTTGCTCAGGAGGGTGTTGGAGTGTGGTTCTTTAGTCTGTGCAGGGTTTTTAAATATTTTTCAGTGATTCTTATTTGCTGTAGTTTTTTAACACCGGAACCCCAGCATATTACATAGAAAGGGCTCCAATCTTGAGATATGACCCGTGCTGCGATGGTAATCTTCTGGATGAGTCACTGTGGCAGGATTCCAGCACTCACCAGACCCTGTGATGAGAGAGGGAGGAGTAAAGGTGTGCTTAAGAATTGAAAAAAAAAAAAAAAAAGAATTGTTCCCAGGGACGCCTGGGTGGCTCAGCGGTTGAGCGTCTGCCTTTTTCAGCTCAGGGTGTGATCCTGGGATCCCGCATCGGGTCGGGCTCCCTGCATGGAGTCTGCTTCTCCCCCTGCCTGTGTCTCTGCCTCTCTCTCTGTGTCTCTCGTGAATAAATAAATACGATCTTAAAAAAAAAAAAAAAGTTCTGAGAGCATGAGCAGCACAGTGAGTGAAGGACTGGGGGTCCTGGGAAACTCCAGCAGATAACTCAACAATTGGGGTTGTAATCCTCCGGGATGGGCTTTCTGACTTAGAGCCTAAATTGTTGACTTGCATCTCTCACCAAGTATACTGTTGATACTTAGCATGGAAAATCCATTCATTGGTCTTTTTACTGTCATTCAGTTGTGGATGACTCCGGTGACCGGAGCCTCTTGGAACGTGTGTAACAGGAAGGGACAGGAAACCATCCATTATGGGAGCTAGAATTACAGATTGCTTACAACACAGTAACAGGGAGAACCTACATGGCAAAAGTTGAGAGAGGCTGCAGGAACTGTAGCCAGACACTCATAGCTTTATTTTATTTCTTTATTTTTTTTAAAGTAAACTCTCCCTTCACAATGGGGCTCAAACTCACAACCCTGAGATCCAGAGTACCATGTTCGACCAATTGAGCCAGCCAGGTGCCCTGACATCCACAGCTTTAAATTACTGTCTAATGAAAAAAAAAATGGAAATGAACGTTACATTTAAGACAGTAGAAAGAGAATGAAGAATAAGCCCCAGTAAGTAAGGAAGAGGGAGTCAGTGACTTGAACAAAAATTGGAAGAGAAAAAAATGTAATAATTTTGTATTGGGCGGAGAAGAGGGGGATGGAAGTCACTAGATAAAGGATAAACCTGTAACTAGGAAAAAGAATGAGAAAAAAATTTTATAACCTCAGACCAGGAAACATTGTAAAGATAGACCTTTAGTAATAATTTAGAAATGAATCAGCAAAATAGAAACATTCCCAGGAAAATATAAATGTTTTCCTTCAGAAGAAAATCTTGGAAGTTAATAATCATAGAGAACATGAAAAAATACGAGTTACTGGGCCTCCATTGTAGGAAAATGTTTTTATACTATCATGGAACAGAACATTCCTTTATGGTTCCAGAATGTAGAACTGTATTAAAGCATTCTTTTTAAAATTTGAAGACCAACATAATGCTGAAAACAGATACTGACCAGAATAGTGGGGGTAAAAAAAAAAAAAAAAGAAAACAAAATGATAGGCTAATATCACTCATAATTATAGGTAACCCAATAAACACCCCCCCCAAAAGTCTTTTATAACCAAATGGAGTTTTTTCAAGAATGTAGGAATAACAGACCGTTTCAGATTCCTTTAATAGATTTTATTATTGGCAACTGTAGGGAAAACATAATTATTTTGTTAGATGAGCCATTTAATGAAATTTTAATATTCATGAAAATGCTCACTAAAATAGGAATCCGTATAGTTAATTTGATACAGTAAGTAATGTTTTTTCAAGTTAATATCTAATGTTACACTTAACAGTATGATGATAGCATATTCTTAAAGTCAAAATAAAAAAATACCATTTTTTGGTCATTTTTATGTGGTTCTTGAAATTTGTCAGTACAGTGTGACAAGAAATGAGCATTAAGTATTAGAAAGAAGGGATGAAAATTATTTTTTTCACAGTTACAGAATATTCTGCAAAACCCAAGTGAATCATGTGATAGCCAGTTAAAAATGTTATGTAAAGAAGATCTCATTTCTGGTTTCTAATAGTGTAGAAATTCTGTTTCATAGGAACAAATCTAATAAGGTGTGAAATCTTTGTGGATAAATTACGGAACATTGAAGATGTAAAAGAAGGGCTGAATAAATGGAGAGCTGTTCCTTATTTAATGCTTGATATTGTGAAGATACCAGTTTTCCTAAGATACATCTATAATTTCAGTGAAAACCCATTAAAAACCAAAGCAGGGTTTTTTATGGAACAGTTCATCCTAAAATCCATATGTCAATGAGCGTGTGTCCAAGAGTAGCCAAAATAATTTTTGGTTTTCCCAACAAGTTGGGAAGACTTGCCATACCACACATATCAAACTTACTAAAATGTTGCAAATCCAGGTAATTAGACCACTGTACTTGATATAAACCAATATGAGCCCAAAAACTTGATATAAACTAAAATAAGGAAACTTGTTATGTTATAAAGGTGGTAGTTTAAATCAGTAGGGAAAGGTGACCTATTAAAGAAGCATATGGAAAAAAATGAAATTTCATTCCCCACTTCATACCAGGTGCAAAAATTCACTATTCATGCAAAATAGTGTTAAGGGTATGAAGCCAAGCTTTAAAATTTTTAGATGAAAATATGAACATTGTTGGGGAGTAGGAAACACAGATAATACAAATGATAAAGGAAAAGATTGAGAAATTTGACTCTTAAACTTCCGTACAACAAGAAAATATACTACATTGGGAAGAAAAGGCTCAAATTGGTGGAGAGTGTAATGAATGTTTGAAAGACATTGTTAATTGCCTTCCTATCTTTACAAACACGACCTTATTTTGTGCCCATTTAACAGTGGCAGTCTGCTTTGGTGTCCTTCAGAGGTTGTGAGCATTGAGACCAGGTAAGCTAAGAATTTCTGGAGAAGCTTTGCTTACTGAATACGGGGTCTGGTCTTTGTCTTTCCTTGTTTCCCTTCTTGCCTGCAATGTGGGAATCAAGTTTAGAGCTGCAGCAGCTTTGTTGCAGTGAAGAAGTTGAAGCTACATATTCGAGATGATGGGCAGGAGCATACAAGGCTAGTTCCATGATGATGTTCTTGACTAGAGGCATCAGCCATGAATCATCTACTCCCATACTTGTAGTCAAATGAGAAAAAAATGACTTGGGTCTATTCTAGCCATTGTAGGTGGCTTTTCAAGAGAGAATTACT